TTTTTCAGTAAATAATTGAAAGTTATAGAAAAATTAATATTATTTCTTTTTTGGTAAGAATTTTTATATTATTTAGTATTTTATATATTGAAATATCTTTTTTATGATTGTTATCCTGCGATAATCCAATTATTTTGCACATAATAAGCTTATTATTTGCTAAATTAATAATTTCCCTTTTATACTTGTTCGGTACTTATGCCGTAACTCAAACTCTGTTTTTCTTTCTATAAATAATTGAGAGTCAAAAATATTTATATTATAAAAATTAATCGCAAAATATGTTGGTTAGTGCATAATTCAACAATGCCTAGAGCAATTTGGCCAATTCTTTTTTTCAAATGTTCGTTAAAGTCCAAGGATGGTTTTTACGGCGAGAAAAATTCGAATAATTGCCGCAAAAACCCTAAAGACATCCCTTTTTTATAGGATAAAAGTTGGCATTGAAATTCAATCATAGTTATAGTTAAATACAGTATAGTCCGGTTATAATGACATCGAAGGGAATTGACAAACACGTCATAATAAGCGGACGTCATACAAAGCGTTTTGTGAAATGAAAACCCTTTCTTATGTAAATATGTACATATACATACATATTAAATCAAAATCAAAATGCACGTAATCAGCACATTATAACACATACAAGTGTATTTTTTACTGCAAGTAATCTGTAATTTTTGTCTGCTTTTGTTTTAATTAATTTTCTTGTGATTTTCGAAGCCTCTTCGGTTTCAAAACATTTGGATTGAACGATTGCTTAATACGGTTCTTGTTTTTTAAAAAACATTGAGATTGTCGAATGACCCACGCCAAATTCCTTTGCGAGACATGAGTTAGATTCTCCATTTTCTAATCTGCATATTATTGCACCTTTCTCCTCAATTGTAAATGCTTTACGTCGTTGAGATGACATTTTTTTCACAATAATAAACGAAAAATTATGCGTGATCTTCAAGCGTTAATTACTTACTGAGATTCAAAACAAAAACGAGCCACGTGCCGAACGTCGTCGGGAATCAACGAACATTACCGGAGGTGTAAAGAATCATGTTGGTCATTATAACCGGACATAATCTATTAAAAATAGGTCATAATAAGCGACATGTCACTGTAAGAGAAGTCATTATATCCGACTTTTTTTCATATAGAATTTTATATGAAAACCAAACTTCATAGTGTAGTTACGTCTTAATAACCGGTTGGTCAATATAAGCGGAGTCATAATAAACAGATTCTACTGTAGTTGAATCTGAGATGGCGCACTGAAGTGCATTATTAGCAATTCTTTATATAATTAATTTCTTTAAAATAAAATTGCGAGTCTTATTAATAGAATTGGCACATACTATGTCTCGAACAAGAGAGTAAAAACGAATTACATTTTTATTAAACACTATCGGGACGAAGTCGCGGGCAAAAGCTAGTAGAGTAAATATTTTGTTTTACACATGTCTGTTTTTTTAAATTAAAAATTTACTACTTTTATTTTGGAATTTTTGTATGTTTTTTATTGTCATCCCGCGAAAATCCAATGATATATTAAATTACTTATAAAGTGTGTACAAAATTAAACAAAATTTGAGCGCGACGCGCGCGTAGCGAGGTGATTTATATCCCCCATGTTGACACTTTTTTCGAATGCGGACGCCGCACACTGGGGGCCAGCGCGCTGCCGCCACGGTTGCCGGGTGGCGATTCCCACGACGCCGCGTTTTTCTCCCGGGCGTTATCCGCGCCACGCCGCACGGAAGGTGGATTTATGCACACAATGATTATTAATCTGAATTTTTTCCTCTTGTCATTCTACACTGTGCAGAATCAACCTCCGGCCAGAGAAAAAAACACACCCGAATAAAAAAGATGTATAAAACCTACAAATAGTCGTTTGTTATTTTACAATTTCATAAAATTTATGATCATCAACATAAAAAGATCACGTCTATTAAAGGATCATCTATTTTATTCATGCTCACGATTACTTTTTTTTTCTCTTTGAAAATTTATCAATTTTGGCCGATCTTAAATAACTTGCGATGTAAAACATGTTAGCCGTTAACTCGAAGGATTTCGGTCTTTGTGTGTGTCAATATTTTAAAAGTTACAATCCCATATTTTTTACCCGCAAGGGATCGCTAAACGAGATTGTGATTTCCGGAAATTCAGGCATCGGAAGGTAAGATGTGAAAGACGTCTCGCTGCCTGCTTGAATCGCGGAAACCGAAACCGAAGTTGTGGAAGCAAAACGAACCAAAACTTCGGATAACATATCGCGCCGCCGTCAATAGATAACCCAACACACACCGCAAGCGTATTAGGAAAAGAAAACCTACACACGGAATGTAAGAATTGCGAAATTCTGAAAATAGGCGAAATGCTGCGTTTCGCTTTGAGGTAGACTCGAACCAAAAGAGATTCGTGATGCGAGACGTGGATTGATTGTAATAATTCATGAGAGATTGCCTTCGATCCAAACCGGAGCAAAAAAGTTATTACGAATAATACATAAGAAAAGAACGTAAAAGATAAAATAAACTAACGCCATCTTTTGGATTGGATGTAGTTTTAAAACGGTTGAATTTGAAGCTGTACAACATTTAAATCTGAACGAAAATCCCGAAATGCGCTCCATTGCGTCCAAAAACGTGCAAATGTAGCGCACACCTTTACTATTACCCTCAGCTCAGCTTGAATGTTTGCATCGCCGGCAGTCGTGGAAAACTTAACGCCGCGATGGGAAAACATCAAGCGACAGCTTGCCAACCGAAGTTTATGTTGTGCCACCGCGCGAAACGAAGACAGCGCAAGAAATACGGAAGTGTAAAAAGAGAAAAATAGCGGCACTGTTCGTGTTCGAGTTGTAAAGTGCGCGCGAGCACGTTGGAAAACGCGAAACAGCGAAACAATTCGCTCCGCAGGCGAAACTTGGGCCACTCCGCGCCACTCTGGATCAACATCGCAACATGCACAACATGAGCGCAGTGGGGTAGTAGGGTTTGATTGTGTGCGGAGTGAGTACACGGTAAATACCTAGCATGAGTACCACTACCTACTGCCACCTGACTGCCGGGGATGGAGCGATGCAAATGTTTTCGCCATTCGTACGAACGCTTTCGTGCAATTTTCCCCGAATAACAGCGCGGCACGACTCCGGGGTATAGAGTTGAGAATTTTAGTCGTTGTGCTTTTAGCGTCGAGCATGCGATTTTCGCAATGTGTCGCAAAACGTAGTATAAGCGTAGTAAACTTTGCTACAAAATAGGTGGAATTTTTTTTTCGGTTTCTTTCGGTGCAAATTCGAATGAATATTAAATCGTAGGTAATGAAGTTATATTTTTTGGAATTGAATAATACGTAGTATTGTAAATTCATATACAGTAGAATCCGTTTAGTATGACTCCGCCTATATTGACCAGCCGGTTATTATGACGTAATTACAAAAGAAGTTTGGTTTTCATATAATATTCTTTATCATTTTACAAAACGTATAAATTGTTTTTGACATGAATTCAATATTTTTTCTCATTTTTTTAACAAATAGTGTGTTAAAATAGAAAAATTGGCACTTTTAGATAAGTTATTACTTTTGTTGTTTTTTTTAGATTTTGAAACACAAAAAGTGGTATTTTAAACACGTATGGCCAAGGCCGTGACTAAAGTACTTTATATACCTAATTAGAGTTATTACAAACTAACTTTTGTCCGCGATTTCGTCCCATTAGTGTTTAATAAAAATGTAATTCTTTCTTACTCTCTTGTTCTAGACATAGTTTGTGTCAATTCTATCAATAAGATTCGCAATTTTATTTTAAAGAAATTAATTATATAAAGAATTGCTAATACAATGCACTTCAGCACACAATGCCATTTTTTTCTTATAGAAAATTTTTCTCGCCGTAAAAACCATCCCGGGACTTTAACGAAAAAAAAGAATGGGACAAATTGGTATAGGCGTTGTTGAGTTATGCGCTTACCAACAAAATTAGCGATTTATTTTTATATTATAAATTATAAAATAAAAATATAACCTCAATTTTGAACTATAAACTCATCTATAGACTGCGAAACAAATCGATACTTTTGAAACGTTTTGGACGTTGAAATAAACCACGTACGAGAAGCACGTACAAACGCATATCATTGAACAGTTGATACCAACGAAATTGAAAAAGCAACTGAGCAAAAAATAACAATTGCAAAAAGTATAAGCACAAAAAGAAATTCAAAAAAATCATCGTCCCGAGGGCATATCAAAAGCAGCACAAAATTGAATAGCAAAACGCTCACGAATCTAATAAAATAAAATAAGAAACAAAACGACATGGAATAAAACGACCTCCGCAGGACACGATATGGAACAGGACAAAAGCCAAAGCCAGCTCGTGCTCGCAGTAAAGCACAAGTGCACTAAAGATAATCGCTGGGTCAGTTATGCTCCGGTTATGTTTCATGTTTCACTTGTGTCGGGCACTCCACACTCGCCACACTCGCCCGTGAGGTGCTTTTGTTGGTTTCGTCGGTCCTGGCCCCGGCCGATCTGCATAATTCGCGTTTCGCGTGTCAGTGCAATAATAATGTGCGCGTTTTGCATAACACGCCGCGATGCAAAGATAACTCTGCGCGGGCAGGACGCTGCTGTCCGCCTCTCGCTGTCCTTGTCACTAAGACCAGAATTGTGCGCCGTGTGCGAGGGTATAACGTATAAGGGGCGGCAGGAAGAGGAAATTGTTTCGGTACGAGCGCATAACTGCAACTGACACATGCAAACGCGCCATGCGAGCAGCCGAATAAGAGTCCTTCGTCGTCCTGCGGGCGGAAACATGCTGCCTACTGTCAGCGACAATGGGCCCACTCGAATTTACGTCCGAATGTGTCGTGTTTGCGTGGCGCCCTTGCTGGATGATGGATTATCACCGCAATTATCTTTTAACAAGAACATTTGCAAACATTTATAATGTTATATATTAATCAAAAACGTTTCATCCTTACTTTCGTTCTAGGTTGGGCTATTGCTGCAGAAGAAAGAGATTGGAAATATCGTTTATCCGTATACTACGCTAAACCGCAGGATGCAGGTACATTTACCTGCGCTACACCTAGAGGCATCACAAATGGTATTACTCTACATGTTGCAGGTAAGCATTTTGTTAAAAATTCTTGTTGCACAATATTTTAATTTGTGTAACTATGCAACTCTTGTTTATTACCAGTGTTATGTGGGTTGCATAGCTAACAATATTAGCAATTTCGGTCTGCTGTCTGTTCATTAAATTTCCGCAACAATTAACGTTCACGTACGAATTTCTACTCAGGTATTTCGTGCACCAGCTGAATTTCGTGCATTCGATGTGTCTGAAACATGTAACAAACGTCTGAGGCGACCGAAGTTCACTCAACCTACAACAGAAGCTCGTAGATTCAGTTCCTTGGTACACAACTATGTACATGGTTGGGTGATTGGTTGAATGTGAATCTCGCGTATATTGGGTTGCATTCATCATGAGCCCGCCGAACGCTCAAACAAATAGCACGCAACGCAGCTCGTCGTTGGCAATTTCTCATTTAAAGTTGACGTTCGAAATACCGAATTCATAATGCATCACTTCGGCGCTTGTAAATTACCAAACTAGGACGTGAATATGACAGTATTGTAACTAACGGGTAGCAGTAGCGTTGTAAATGTTAAATTATATTACTCCATATTCGAAATGATGAATAATATGCTCGGTCATAAGCAAAAAAACGGAATGTGTGTTTAGTTTGCGCAGTATGTAACCCAATGAACAGCAAATAGAGAGTAAAATGTATTTACGACCGGAGAATTTTCGTGATAATTCCGCACGCGACTAGCTTGGTAGTTTACTAATGAAATTGATGAATTTTGTAATTTAGATAATTCCGGATGCGGCGGGACAGGACAATACAACGACGACGTAAAGTTTTGAAGCAGACGAGCAACTTGTTCTTGTTTAGTCTCGAGTAGTCTCATGGCTCAGTGTTATGATCGGATAGGCAACACTGAATACATGCCAACAATGAAACAAAAGCACAATGAGTCTGCTACGTAATTAGTTGTAACTTTACGAGAACTAACTAAATCTAACAATTAATAACTTTAAATGATAAATTTAAACATAATAATCATTCTTGACGAGATATGGCGTGTTTTTTTCGTGAAGTTAAAATGATTAAAGTTTGATTATTTGGTTGCCTGAATTCAGTGAGTAAATTTAGAAGATTGGTTAATACAGCGTTCCTTGGTGCTCCATCCATTATATTATTATGACAAGCGTGGCAGTTGGACGGTTAAACATTTCTGCTGGTTTCTGCAGTTGCCACTCTGAGATCTTGATCTAACTCTTGCTTTTGCTCACTTCGTCTTGGTCTTGCTTTAATTCTTGGTTGTGGTTTGCAACATCGACGTCATTGCTTCCTTTCTTTCTCTTGGTCTTGTTGCATTCGCCTCGACACGGCAAACAAACGCCATTCACCACCGCAAGCCTCGCATTTCCATATTCCCAAATTGCCAAATTTGCAAATACTCAAATGTACTCAAACATAAATGCTAAAATGTTACTGAATATTTACTGGGGTATTCATGATGAATAATAAGGAGTACATATTTTAATAATGATAACATCGCCATTTTGTTTTATTTTTAAGCTGTGCACTGTGAACCAATCTCCGTGTCCGGAATGCATCTCACAGTGAGGATTGAAGGAACCAGATTAGGCCACACTGCTGTTTTTCAGTGTCCTGTGGGATTTAAAATCAAAGGACACGCAAATATTACCTGTCAAGCTTCGGGTAATTTTTTAACCTCAAATCATGACTTTTTGAGCAAAAGTGTTGTAATTTTTTAATGTGATAGGTAAATGGTCCGATGCTGTACCAACATGTGAGGTAGTAATGTGTCCAGCTTTGGATGGCATCGACGGTCTTACCGAGCCTCATCTGCAGCTAGAAGAACACAACGCTACCTATGGGGGTCGTGTAGTATTTGGGTGCGCGTGGGGATATCGCCTGATGGGCCCGCCGGGGCTGGAGTGCGAGTTGGACGGCAACTGGAGTGGACCGCTGCCGAAATGTGCACGTGCGTAATCCACTTTCTTTACATCATATCCTTTAGTTTCGGCTTATTTGGGTTTAGTAAGTGTGCCCAACTGGTTGCCTACACCGTAATAACGCCATATTACAGCATTATCGTTAGATTTAATTACTTAAATCTTGTTTTCTAATTTAATAAGTTAAATAATTTGCGTTGGGAATGTTTTTTACAGCTATACAATGCCCACCGCCTATTATCCCAGTCAATGGTCACCTGATACAATCAGAATCGGCTGGAATGGACGGAGGGAGATATGCAGTTGGTAGTCTGGTACAATTTGCTTGCCGTGGAGCTCATAGTTTAGAAGGAGAAGCCAGTATCATCTGCACTGAGTCTGGTTATTGGTCGCACCCGCCGCCATTCTGTAATTATGCTTTTAATCCTTTATAATGAAACAATTTGAATGATTTATTACCTGATGAGATTAATTAATTGCTTGTGTTGTGTGTTTAGGCAAACCTCGATGTCCCTACTTGGGTGAACCCGATAATGGCGTCATGGCGCCCACTAAGTTCGCCTACGAGCCGGGCGACGAATTGCAAATCACGTGCAACCCTGGTTATGAAGCGCCCTTGGAGGCTGAACGGCCCAAGTGCTTGGCCGATGGAGAATGGTCCGTTCCGCTACCGCACTGTACACTCTACTCGCAGATTTGAGATTTGTCCACGACGGAAGTGGAAGTTGAACCCGATTCTACCACAACCGAAGCAACTGAATACATTGAACAGTATGAAGTGATGGGGAATGACACGTATAACGCGACTAGTATTTTTGATGAGTACGAATTGAACGATTCAATGATTTAAAACAGAAATGAGTCTATCATATCAATTTCTTCTAATATGAAGAAATGACATCGATTTGCAGTGAAAATAAAGTTATCAATAATAAAAAGACATAAAATTAAGAGTAAACAAAGAATAGACGTTGTCAACATCGAATTTTAACAAAATAGAATACAATAAACATGTGTATATAACATTTTAACATATTACAAAATATTGGTAATAAAATGGCATCAAAACAAAGTTGATAAATCAGAGGTTAGCTATAGGCAACCTAATATACACGCAAAACAAAGAAAATTCAAGTATATTGGTAAATTAATAAAATAAATAAGATAAAGTAAAAGAATATATAATTAAAACATCAAAACAAGGCGTAATGCAAACATGTAAATACTAATTAAGAGATGACAATGTTAAAAGTCAAAATATGTGTCTAGTCAAGTCACAAACTAAAATTAAATTGTAAAATAAGCAGATTTATGCAAAAGCAAACATCTATTCACATATAAAAAGACAAAATTCTTGAATAATACAAATTATACTTATTAACAACATTGTTAATGGATGTAAGCACAGAAAAACGAATGTTAAGTCAAAACAAAAGTGTAGTCAATATTTATATACAGTTTAATGTGTTTTCAATGAGTGTACATAAATTATACAAAAATAATTAATAAACATTTATATAATAAATATAATCAACTTTCATTCTGCATTAACAGACTTGTATTTATGTTTTCTTCTTTTCTGATTCAATTAATTCATTCACAGCTAAAAGTGTTACTTTAATATGTACTTTAATTTGCACAGCCATGTCCATATAATGTTCTATTTGCTTTTCAATTAGTTTTAACCTGATATCAGCATACTTATCAGCATGATCTAATTCCATTGTTAATCTTACACCACAACCAATATCCACATGTACTTTTTCTACATCTGTGATGATTGTTGAGGCTGTAATAGATTTATTACCCCATTCAGCTAAAGGTATATCCATGCAAAGATCCTGCTGAGGACATTTCTCTTTGAAGGTACGTAACATTTTAAAGTTTAATTTTGCATCCATCCAGTTTTGTTTCTCTTCTTGTAACTTTTCAAGTGCAATTTGTGTGTGTTTCAAGTCTTCTTTTAATTTGTCTTCGATAAAATCATTATATGTTTCAATTTTCGACTGTATTTCAGACTTTTTGGGCATTTTTTATCAATTTTATTTCACAAACATCCATCTATTTAGAAAACCGGGTATGAGTGCAAATATTTGCAGGTTATAGTGTACGTGATGTGCGACTTTACAAAGAGGGCAGCACCTTACAGAAATTGACGCAGCAGGACTAATTTTTAACAAATTTTCTCTAATATCGCAAGAAATAAGAAACTAATCTTAAGTTTTATTATTTATTTTAAAGTATTTAAGTGTTTTAAATTGTTTTATTTGCATTTATTCTTGAAAGCACGTTTAAATTTGTCAATTTTTGATAAAATTTGTGCGATAGCGAACCTGGCGCATGTTGTATGACGTACGTGCGAGTCACTCACCTCGAGAAATATCCTCCCGAGCTGCTCGTACTGTCAGCTCATTCTCGAACAATTTCACAACACACGAAACCAAAGCAAAGCGTTGGACGGACGTGCCGCGGCGATCATGTTGTCGTGCGTCTAGCGAAATTAACGTCTCCTTGTGTGCATAATGTGATTTAATGTGACTACGAATCAAGGTGAGTGCCACAAAGTCGTTCAGTGCGCTCGTCTTTTGTTTTCATCGCTTGTTTTGCGTTGTTTAATTTGTCGACGAGACTTGGCCAGGTGGCAAGGCTGACGATATGACGGTGTCATCATTTGATTTTGACACTAACGCAAGTAAATATCACGCGTAATGCATCATATATTTATAATTGCTTTGCTAAACAAGCGAATCGCAGTGAGTTTCCAATGGACTGGCGTTAGCTGCAATGATTTTTCTTATAACGTGTGAATTTGAAGGTTAAAGGTCACGCAGTGGAATTCTCGGAAACTTGCGCGTTATCAGTCGTCAGCGCGGTTACGATTTGGGGAAACCCACTCATAGAATTCAATGCGAAATGATTAGACGTGGTATAATCGCATGTTTGCAGAACAAACACATCGAACGCATTTTTCTGCATGACTTCCGCTATGAATCGGTGCGGAATTTTGTTGAAAACAATTGATTATCAATAATTTTGGGATTGTTATGCAATATGTTGAAATGATTGATAAACATTGGGGAATGTACTGCTATAATAAGTCCTAGTGATTAATTTGTTTGCATTTTTCGTACAATTGTGCGCATATTTACTCGGCTCGTGCGGTTGTAAAATGGACGCGTTAACGCGATGTTTTTGAATTATTAATTAACAACAGGTAGATGTAGTTTAGCATATGTGTACTTGTTTTCAACGCAATTTATTGTTTTTAGAATGCCGATACAGGCTCCACAGTGGACGGAATTTCTAACATGTCCCGTGTGCGTCAACGAGTTCGACGGCACGCTGCGAGCACCCATCTCATTGGGCTGCAGCCACACGGTGTGCCGGGCGTGCCTCTCAAACCTCCACCGCAAGCAATGCCCATTTGATCAGACCAACATTAACATCGAGATTGAATCACTTCCTGTCAACACAGCTCTACTTCAACTTGTCGGCGCTGCAGCGGGAACTGTTCGCAATGAGGAAGAGATTGAAGCCAAAATCGTCCCGAGAGATCAACTGCAATTCTATGAGGCGTCGAAGAAGTGCATTGAAGAACTCGCACTTTACCTCAAACCACTTTCAAACTCACCGGGGACGAATGGCAACTGCAATGGCACAACCTGTACTAATCTACTCAGCAGGCCAATGCAACGTAAATTGGTGACTTTAGTCAATTGTCAACTTGTTGAAGATGAAGGCCGTACTCGCGCGATGCGCGCGGCGAGATCCCTAGGCGAACGTACTGTTACCGAATTAATTCTACAACATCAGAATCCACAACAATTATCGGCTAATCTATGGGCGGCTGTACGAGCTCGAGGATGTCAATTTCTAGGTCCTGCTATGCAGGAAGAGGTCTTAAAGTTAGTCCTCTTGGCGCTGGAAGATGGCTCAGCATTATCCAGGAAGGTTCTGGTGATGTTTGTTGTACAACGTTTGGAGCCACACTTTCCCCAAGCATCGAAAACTAGTATCGGGCACGTTGTGCAGTTGTTGTACAGAGCGTCGTGTTTTAAAGTGTCTAAGAGGGAAGGTGATTCATCGTTGATGCAGCTGAAGGAAGAATTTAGGACGTACGAGGCGCTGAGGAGGGAACATGATGCGCAGATTGTGCAGATTGCGACTGAGGCTGGGTTGAGGATTGCGCCTGATCAATGGTCGGCGTTATTGTACGGCGATACAACGCATAAGAGTCACATGCAGAGTATTATTGATAAACTGCAAACACCGCAGTCTTTTGCTCAAAGCGTGCAGGAGTTGGTAATTGCGCTGCAGAGGACGGGGGATCCAGGGAAGTTGTCCGTGTTGAGGCAGCATTTGGATTTGTTGGCTTCGATTGACTTAACATCAGGTTAGTGGAAGATTATTTATTGTATTTTACTATTTTTGAGGTTGTGCATGATTTATTAGGTTTGATTTATTAAATTTAAAGTTTGGTGCGTAATATTGCGTGAATTTTGATATTTGGCAGTGAAAAAGTTAGATAATGCAAGATTTAATCATATTTTCCTGTTGCGCATGTGCTAATGCATTAACTTAACTTAATCAGCTACTTGTTGATAAACACAAATACTCAATTTCTCAGAATTATAGCTTTAAGTTTATTTCTAGTAGTAATCCGTGTATTATTTACCTGTTTAGTTTACTTCGATGAATAATGCAATAGTAAACTTAACTTTGTTTTGACCTAGTTTCTCTTTGTAATTTTAGAATCAGCAAGTCCAAGTTGGAAAGAATGTGCAGAAGTTCTCGATGCAGGCAGACAAGTAGTCGCTGGTTTAGTTGACTTCATTCACCAGCACGGTTCGCGAAAACTGCAAGATCCCGGCCATTCGCCGCACTCCAAATACAAAATAAGCATGTGTCGTGATTTAACCCTTCGTGGTTCATGTCCACGCGGCACCAACTGCACATTTGCCCACAGCGCTGACGAACTCGAGAAATATCGCGCTAAAAACCGCCAGCGCTCCGGCGGCAGCAGCGGGCGCCGAAGTGACTCCGCCCGCGATAGCCACTCACCTAATGTCTACATCCACTCTTCTCCGCAACCTCCGCAGCCAGCAGCCGAAGAGGCTTATTATACAGTTACACCCAATGTGAACATCTCGCCAATGTCAGTGAGGTACCATGTTCCTACTGCTTTGCCCACTACGGTGCACCATACTGCATACGAAAGCATGTACTATCCGTCAAATGGTAACTTTTCCACCACGCAACCTCTGTATGCTACGGAATTGTATCCGGCTGAGATGTATTCTCCTGCACCGCACAATGTGCAATTCTTCCCAACGACTACCTCGGATTATCCGATTTCATCGCAGATGCGGTCTACGGTTCCTCCGATTGTTGCAAATGACGGGAAACAAAGAGAAAAGAAACCTCCAAGGGGAACTAAAAGTCTTGCCGAGCTGCAACAGCGAAAGCAGGAGGTTATTTCACAGCTTGAGAAGGTGGTTGGCAAGAATAAAGCTACAGCGATTAGTAACACAGCTACGAATAATGCAAGGCAAGAGCACGAGATGGAGAACAGCGGTAGTCCGTTCAATTTCAACACTAGCATCTCACATAGTGGGCCTACATTTGTCCGATCAGACTCAATCCTTACGGATGACGATTATGTTCCTTACGATGGCGGTAACACCGCTGGAAAATACGGCCCGATTTCAAGGATGCCCAAGGATAACATGTGCATGCCTTCGAATGTTTCCATGAGTCAATTTAGAGATCCTAATATGGTGCGCTTGGTTTAATTCTGAATAAAAAACATTTTTTAAAGAATTTATTGCAGGTTCGACGTCCAGTATCCGCTGCATCGCCTGGACAAGGCGGACAATGGTGTTACGCTACGCATAATGGCGATAACATTATGATTGTTTCGCAACCGATGCACTATCAGCGCATGCAGGATCCGCAAAAAGTGATAGCTGAATCGCAACGTGTTAAGATGCAACTCAGGAACCTAGAGCGCCAGCTGAATGACCTCAAGATGGTCACCCAAGGTGGTGTGCCCACACTCAGCGAAGGAGATCGCCTTACACAAGAACTACAGCTCATTGAGCAAGGCATTCAGGAAAAACACAAGGAAGCACGACTTGTGAGCATGAAATCAATTAAATTATAAACAAGCTTTAATTATTTTTTTTTGTATATTTTGTTTAGAATCGAATTGTGTCTTCATTTAATACGAGCATCGCGGAGAACTACACTGACAACGCGACGTATGAAGAAGACATAGCAAACGACATGCGTGCGCTGGAGCTACGATGGCAAGAGGAACTCGAAGAGCAAGAGAAGCGCTGGAGCAGCGAAGATGATAAGTAATTGTCGCATGTAAACACGAAACTAATGTAAGATAAGCGTGGTAAGCGTATACCAAGAAAAGTAACGGAACGAATTTTGCGTTGACGCGAGGTAATAATGCATGGAGGTATAAACCCAATGGGTTTGCTGTTAGTACAATGATTGTTTGTTTTGTTCAAATTTAGGCGAGACGGTGATTGTTTGCGCGACTGCGATAGGAAAGTTGAAATTTTATTATTCACATGGTGCTAGAGAGCTAGAGCTATTTTATTTATTCGTGGACTTGACTTCAGGTTTTCAAGTTTTCAGTTTTGGGCCAAGGCTGGTGTTGTTGATTAGAACGTTTTTAAAACAAGTTTTACGCGTGGCACTTGGCGACGAGGTTCCAGTTTTATTGGAAATGAACTAAAAGTTTGCGTTGCAAATGAGGTGTCATTGTTTTTGCATGATTTTTGAGGCTTTCGATGTTATGTACACATGTTAACAAGAGTGATCACTACTAGTACCAGTGACTTGAAGCAGTTGAAACAAAGTTTAGTCAAACACATTGACATACATCACGTGGGCCTTACTGTAAAAACGTAGAGAATTTATTTAAACTTGAAATGTCGAAATGCGAAGCGACGTAGAAATGATTATTATTCATATATTAACTGAATTATTGCTGACGGTGGCGATGATGCGTGAAAGATTAAAGATAAATTTATTATATAACATATATGAATATATATATATAATATATATCTATAACGTATATCTATTATGAAGTAATCATATAATCATACTGTGTGTGATTGGGGTATATCAATGTTATCAGTTGATGGAAAAGCCGAGGCAGAGCAGGAAGCTATGCAACAAAAAAATAATTGATTGAAACACTAATGACTAACTTGACATCTATAATCTTAACATTAATTAAGCTAATCTTTTTGTATTCATCGTGAGACAGACGCGCATTCTTCGATGTTGTGTAATGCATACCTATATTTATATCAAAATAGTTGCAGGAGTTTGCAAAAATGTTTACGAATCGTTGTGCAATCAAAAGTTTTAAAAACGCATATTGAAATCTTACGAAATTGACAATACAAAGATGATGTGTAACTATATAACTATTTTTTTCTGACAGTTAGCAGCATAACTTAACTAAATTTTACTACTTTGACTGTTGTAGTATCTTTTTCTGAAATAATTGATACCACTCTGTGAGTAATCATATAAAATGCAACTGTAAAATACTTGGTTTGATTCCGTTGATTGCTCTAAGAGTTTTCAAGCGAACTGATGATGTATTATATTGTACGAATTGAAGCGATATCGGTAGTTGCATAAAACAAAGTAACATAATAATTGAAATTGGATACAGTTACAAATAGCATTGATTACAGTGGTACAACTAATGAGATGACATTCTAATGATTCAAACTGATATTATACTGATTATATTAATCGAAACATTTGTATATTTGGGTGGAAGTATATATTTCAAATATATTATATCTATATATTGCTATTCAACGGGTGTTTCTTATTATAACAGCTTTTCCTGTGATGCTACAATCAAAAAACAACTCAATCGATAAAACTGCTTCCTTGGGTGTATGTTGGGTTGCCTATAATACTTGTAAAAAACTAAGCTGGCTTGATTTTCTAAAAATAACAATTTCAATACATCAAAACAACTTAATAGATTAACTAACTTAAAAGTACAAACAGATTTTGTTTTTTCTTCTTGAATGGTGTTTTATTTAATTTTTTATTGTTTGAAAACGCTTGGAAGTTGGAAATACTAGTACAAACGTCTGCCGTTAGTGTCGCCCGGCCAGTCGCACGCTTGGTCTCACGCGAGTTGCCTGCACCGACCGCACGACGAAGCAGAGGGCAACGATTGAAAACAGTTGAAGAGAAAAACGGTTGAACTGCATCAAGTGAACGCGTGAATTGTGATCCAGTGCATCGTGCACGACTCTAAAATGTTTAATACAAAGCAGGAGGTCGACCGGCACGTGGAGAAATGCATGCGCAACCTGAACAGCGAAGTCGAGGTAAGTTTCGCATGAATTAAGTTCGTGTTCACTCGAATGCATCTTTTGCTTCATCGTCGCAAGCAAAACGCCGGTTATTTACAAATGTTCAGTCTTTATCACGTGCATATTGCATAATATTGCGATTGTGCACACGTATATTAGTAGTCTATTAATTGCATCCGCCGAGAGGGAAATGCGCCGAAAATTCATTATTTAGGGTTAGAAATTGGATGAGAATCGCAGTTGGCGCCCAAACATTGCATCCATTTTGTTTTTATGAAATCGCAAGTTTCTAGTTGAAATATCCTGAGAAAACCAAAACAATTCGCATTTTACATGTTTACGTTTAATTTATATGAATATAATTATCTTCTCTATCGTGTAACACGTAACATTTTATCAAGGTTTTCGGTTGCATGTCGCGTGTCTTATCCGCATGAATGTACATAACCTCATTGTTTCACATTTTTAAAAATGACTTCATTGCAATGATTTCCATGCTATGTAAACATTATTTTAGCGCAATGTGCGAGGTCTTGCTTTTGCGAAAATGTACTACAAAGTCGGCGACTACGAACAGGCCCTTCGTTACGTCACCGTTTACCTCAACTCACGGCCATCATCAGCTGAAGGACAAAATTTACAAGGAAAGATTCTTGAGAGAATTGGAAAAACCAGTCAGGCTTTGGAGGCTTACAGACTGAGTTTAGATTTGGACTGCAAACAGAATAGTCTTGTCCTAAAAAGTATGCAATTTTCCCTACTAACTATAAAAGCATATTTTAATTGAATTTTTATGTTTAGTTTGTGAACTGATGGCAAAAGAACAGCATCATTTTGACGCTGCAAGTGCGCGTTATTACTGCGAGAAGGCACGCTCCATCGACCCACAGAATCCAGTAATTTTCCACCTGAAGGAGCGTCTTGTTGCCGCTGCTAGTAAGGACCCCAACGACGTAACCGAACTTCTCCTTAAAGAACTAGAATCGCGTCCTCTGGACGTTGATGTTCGAGTGCGCCTTCTCCGCCATCTTAAACAGCACAATCGTGCGCGTGAAGCCTACACGCATGCGTACGACATCGAACAGAAGCAAGTGGACGCCTACCTCAACCATCTGAAATGGTGTGAAACTGTAGTTGACGTGCTCGGCGTCTACCGAAACACCCAGAATGTGCTCACATGGGAGTTCTGGATGCTGTATGTTTGTGTATGGGATCGCTACGTGGCGCTGAGCTTGAACGATCGCACCCGGGACTTGGAACATGCACCGTTGGTTCTGGGTCTTGATCAAGCTATACAACTCGCTGCGGATAAACTAGGTGCGTGTCCACAGAAGCAACTTGTGCAAGAGTTCATAAAACATTACACAGGCCAGTTATGTTGGCATCTCCTAACTTTATTATACAAACAAGCTCGCAAAGCGTTGATTAAGTATCGGGAGGCGGGGCAAATGGGCTTGCCTTTATTGTTTGCGTCGTACAATTTCAAGCCGGCGGATAAACGCGCACTGTGGTTGGATCAAGCTACACAGGGGGCAAGGCTACAAGTACAAAGATGGCACCGAGAGGGGGCGTACCGATGTGCGCAAGCTGGTCACATGCTGACGAGCTTAGCACAAGATAGAAAAACAACAATTCTTGAACGCGGCACGCAGGCTGTAACTGGAGCATGGCGAGAGAAGACATTCAAGTTTTTGTTCATCACACGCGATCAGCAGAAGAAAGCGTCAACGTCGTTCTTTATACTTACGCAGAATTTGTTAGATATTCAGGTTAGACTACCCGAGCCTGATGATTTGGTTGCATATACTAAAACAGCGCAACTTGTTCATCCTGATTCGTTACACCATCATATCTGGCTAGGTATGAATTCAAAATTACAAAATTTTGAAGTTACTGTGTTCCCCGGTCTGCAATACACTGTCAAAACTTTTACGAACTGCGCTGCGGAGACGTTGAATGTATTGGATATTCAAGCTTTTATTTATGCGGCCACTCTTTGCGGACAGGCTCAACAAGAAGAGCAAAAACATACGATTTATTACAATGCTGATAGACCCCAGGTATTACCTATTGCTTGCACGGATTTACTCGGCACTGTTAATCAAGAGACTTGGTTGCATTGTGCGTATAAAATGTTTACGAACCATCCAACCCGAGACTTGAGTGAGGTGAGGATGACGTTGATTCGCGGAATTGAAACGGTTCGATGTGTTGGCAATCACGGTTTAGATGCAAAGCTGTTAGTACAACTTGCGAGGACTTTTGCTGATCGCGCTACGAAAGTTACTAAACAGTCTGAAATTGAGGCGAATGAAGCACGCGCTGAGTTGTATTGGCGTGCTGCTTTATACTTACTTGAGAAACACAAGAAGAACGAGCATGTTTCACACACCAATAAGCGCTTATTTGAATACAAGGTAAAGGAGTTAAATCAGGATCAAATACATCAGGCGATCAATGACGGCAAACTTTTCATGGGTAAACAAGCGATGAAAAAGAAAGACTATGAAACCGCCATGAGTGCTTTCAAAAATGTTAAAGATCCATACGCGTCGTTTTATCAAGCTCAGATTTATAAGAAGATGGCCGACTTGGAAACGAATCTGAAGTCGGAAAATGTTACATCAGAGATGCGGTCGCAGAACATCATTTTGTTAACGAAGGCGAGGGATTGTTTCTATTTGACATCTGATAGATTGAGAATGCCGGGTGTCGATCCGAAACATCCTCTATTCGAGGTGTTGTTTACTGATATTGAAAAGATTGATAGGCTTTTATCGCGAATCGATCCAGATAACAATCGTAATGAGTGTGACGGCATGTCCGATGATAATGTGTCATCAATTGAAAGTGATTTTAATTGCACCATGAGTCGACTGGAGACCAGCCATCACGGAGTACATTCAACACCGTTCCGCATGGATCATTCCCGTCGAGATAATAGAGATCGAGAAGCGAGACCGTCTCCCGAACGGCTAGACGCTCAGATAAGACAACTCGCCGCGTCCAAAGATGTGGCGTTGAATAAGGTTTTGGAACAGAATAAATTTGTGATTGAAACTCAGAAGGTTTTAGCTGAGGAGTTGAAATTCTTCCGCGAGTCTGTATCGGATTTGACATCGACTATTAACGAACTAAAATCATTGAAAATTGTCGTCGAAGATGTCAAGGAGATCAAGAAAACTGTGGACGAGTTGGAGAATCTACGAACTGTAAGTGATATGGTTTATGAGCTGCGAAAGGAAGTGGCGGAACTGAAGAAAGATAATGCTGCTGCGGGGACAAGTAAGTCCAAACAGAATCAACTGAGCGATGAGGATTTGTATGTTTTTGATGACGATTATGCCACCGAGATGGCCAACGCGCATGCCAGTTTGTCTACGTCTTTATATCAGAATGCTAGCAGGATGAACCAAATGAATCAAAGTGCCTCGATGCAAAACTTGGGATATCCTGCTAGCCCGATGTATGGATATCCAATGTATCCTCCGTATGGTGGTATGCCAGGTATGGCGATGCCGCAAGTTCCTGGCGTGCCTGGTGTACCAGGCGTTGGTTACCCACAGGCACATCAAGATGCAGCAGCACATTTAGCGGCGGATTACCGAGCGATGAATCTTTTGCAAGGTTACTCGCAACTTGCTTCCGGAATGCAGGCGCCTGCACTTGCTCAGCAACTTACAGCATCTCCAGGGTATATGGCGCAGCAGTATCCGCAGGTTAGTCTGTTTGGAGGTACCGCGGCGCAGAACACAAGTACAGTGACCTCGCAACCATTATCTTTTGGCACTGCTGCAACTCAAGGACAATTAACTAATGTTGCTGGCAGTGTTACAATTACTACTACTTCTAGTGGTTTAAGTACGACCACTTCGGCGAGTGCTAGCGCGCGTCCAGCTCCTGTGAACGTGGTGATTACTTCATCGGATCCATTGCCTAAAACGGTGACCACCCAACAACAAGTTTTATCGGTTACCATCCCACCCGAACACCTCAAAGGCAATAAAGTTCACAACTATCAAATTACATTGCCCAGCAGCGTATCATCATTGGCAAACGCCCCATCAGTGCTCAGTCAAGCCCCAATGGTGGTATCTACCCAGGCCTTGCTTTCCAATGTCTCGGCACCCGTTTATTCAGCGCTTAGTGAGTCGCCGACCAAGACTACTAGCAGCAGCACTGCTTTGGGATTGCAAATCGAGAAATCTTTAAACAATAGTTTCAACCGTACAGCGAATGAATCGGAAGGAGATGTTTCACGCGATGATGAGCATGATCCTTGCCCTGATTTCAAACCAATTATTCCGCTTCCCGATGAGGTCCCGGTTACCACAGGAGAGGAGAACGAAAAGGTGTTGTTTAAAGAACGCGCCAAGCTTTTCCGCTATGTTGCTAAGGAGTGGAAGGAACGAGGTGTTGGTGAGTTGAAAATTCTGCAACACAATGACACTAAGAAGGTGAGATTGCTGATGCGCCGAGATCAAGTTCACAAGATTTGCGCCAATCATTACTTAGAGCCTGACATGGAGCTCTCGCCAATGAATAACAACCCGAAGGCTTATATTTGGCCAGCAAATGATTTCTCTGATGGCAATGTTGTGTTGGAGACGTTCTGTGTGCAGTTTAAGACTCCGGAGTTGGCGAAAAAGTTTTATGATTGCTTTGAGAAGTCAAAGATTATGAAAGAATCTCCTGCGGCAACTTCAGTGACAACAATAGGAAATTCCTCGACGCCCAAAGCGACTACAAGCAATACTTCTATGTTTAGTTCAACCCCATCTACAACAACAACTTCAAATGTTGGTGGCTTTAAATTTACATCAACGCCCACATTCAAACCCAAAGAAGATGAGACACCGAAAGCGATGACTGCAAAACCTGCGGAACCCCCGAAAAGTGCTGCAAGTCCATTTGCTGGATTTTCTTTCACACCAACGGCTAATACTGGCACTACCCCAGTGAGTAAACCATTCTCGGCGTTTTCATTCAGTGCCTCCACCACTGCATCTACCGACAAACCAACTGCAACCAACTTATTTGCTTCACTGAGTTCACCTTCGACATTTACTGTAAACAAAACCAGTGTTGCGACACCAACAACTTCAGTTTCTACTCCTGTGAAACCAATCGAAGCAAGCGCGTTAACTCCGTTAGGAAAACTATCTACTCCATCGGAAGTGCAGTCTCCTTCGAAGGACGAGACCGCAGATGATTTTGTTCCCACTGCTGAATTTACACCAGTTATACCCTTGCCTGATATAGTCGAAATAAAAACTGGCGAAGAAGATGCGGAAATTCTATTTGAAAACAAAGCCAAATTGCTTCGATTTGACAGCACCACCAAGGAATGGAAAGAACGAGGTGTTGGTCAGATGAAGGTTCTCAAAGGAAATAATATCTTGCGATTGGTAATGCGTCGGGAACAAGTGCACAAGGTGTGCTGCAATCATCAAGTGTTGAAGCAAATGCAGTTTAGCAGAATGGTGAAATCGCAGTGCGCCATTACATGGTGTGCAAAGGACTTCTCTGAAGGTGTTTTGACTACTGAAATGTTAGCAATTCGTTTCAAGACGACAGAGATTGCTACCACGTTCCTGCAGGTAATTCAGGATGCACAGAGTGAAATGGATGAAGCTAATTACATTGGAGGTGCAGGAGTTGACAAAGCCGACTCTCCGCACAAGAAACATGATAGTAAATCTTTGATAACGACATTGAAGGAAGGCTTTGGCGATGCTTTCAAACCAAAAGTTGGTGATTGGGAGTGTAAGAATTGTTTGATTGTGAATTTAGCAAAAGTTTCGAGATGCGTCGCTTGCGAAACTCCGAAGAATGACGCAGTTGCCAAGGCGACTGTTGATGATAGCAAGTTTTGTTTTGGTGTGAAACCGCCAGTTAATGCGAGCAGCGCGTCGTTTTCGTTTGGTACAAATTCAGCTACAAGCACAACTGGCACAGGCGTGTCTGGAAGCTTTGGAGATCAGTTTAAACCGAAACAAGGTTCCTGGGAATGCAAGGAGTGTTATACAAGAAATGATGAGGCTGCGGAGAAATGTGTTTCATGTGAAGTGCCAAAATCCGGCGCCACTGCTGCGGTTGCACCTTCAAGTACAACATGCACCTTGAAAGGTGTCGACTTATCCACTGGTGGTTTATCATTCAGTTTTGGTTTCCCACCGCCTGCAAGTAACACCCCTCAATCTGGCCAGATAAGTCAAAGTGATGCTGATTCAAGTGCATCTGCTGTTTCATCAACTACCAGTATTCCAAGTGTAGGCTTTGGCAATCAATTCAAGCCTAAAGCCGATTCATGGGAGTGCAAAGAATGCTATACACGAAACGATGGTGGTATTTTGTATTGTCTTTCGTGCGAAGGTCCAAAAGATTCTACTGTTCCTCCGAAATCTGCATCGTCAAACACGTCCACACTCAAAGGTGTTGATCTGAGTACTGGTGGTCAGCAGTTTAGTTTTGGAATTCCCGTTCAAACTACATCTGCTAATGACATCAACAAACCGTTTTCTTTTGCTGCGGCTGGAGAGACTGCTAAAGCTGGATTTTCATTTTCGCTGAGCGGAACTCCAAAGGCTGAAAATAAGGAGGGGGATGTTGAAGAAGTGTTTGGATCTCCGCATAAAATTGGTTTCGAGTTTACTCCACGTTCTCCAAGAAGGCAAAGCGGTGGGCAACAGTTGGACGAAGATGGCGGCGATGATTCCTATTATGAGGAGGAAGAAGCTAATGTGTATTTTAAACCAGTAATTCCATTGCCGGATAAGGTCACTGTGACAACTGGTGAGGAAGATGAAGATGTCTTGTATTGCCATCGTGCCAAGTTGTACCGCCATGCGGGCGGCGAATGGAAGGAGAGAGGCATTGGGGATCTCAAGATTTTATTCCAAAAAGAACAACATAAGCTCAGGTAAATGTTATTTTTTGTTGTGTATAACGATTCAAATGTGAACGAAATGTTTTTAAATGTTTAAGGGTTTTAATGCGGCGGGAACAAGTACACAAGATTTGTCTAAACCACGTGCTCACACGTGATATCGTTTACAATAAGAAGGACGACAAGACATGGCTCTTTGCGGCGGCTGATTTCTCGGAGGGCGAGATCGATCATTGCAGTTTCTGTTTGCGCTTCAAGACTGCCGAGGTGGCGGAGGAGTTTATGAAGGCGATCAACGATGCATTGAAACGTACCGGCAGTGACGGTAAGATTACCATTATTACTACTATCGATTACAACACTATGCTGGTGGGCACTTGTGTCGCGTTTGCCGCGCTCGCCGCGTTTGCCATTTGGCACCGCCAACGGTTATAAACAAACTAAGACGAGATGTGGAGCAAAATTTTGTTAACTCACACTTGCTTTGATTTTATACTTACCGTATATGCACTATTTGCATAGGTTTGCACCTTTGAAACAATGTGATATTTAACTGGTTATCCAATTACTCTACTTATTGATATAAGTGTTTACGTTTGTAATAAAACTACTAAAAATTAATACCAGCAAAATTTAATTAATTGAATTCCCATTTTTAATCTAACTTTTTATTACATTTTATATTTGACTCACAATTTCTTTTATATGAATGTTTTGTTTTGTTCATGCTTGGGTTAATATATTTTTGTGATTTCACTGTTCTGTTTGCACCTTGTTTGGTTTCATTTGGTTGATTTGGGTTCTTTCTTGCTATGATTCGCAGGCAATGCTGAAACTGCGGGGATTGAAGGAAGCGATTCGGACGTTGAGTTTGTCAGTGAGACTCAGGTGAGCCCCGAAGAGCAGGCGGAAGCAAAACGCCTTCTTTTGCCTCCTAAGTTTATGGCGTATAGGCAACTGGATGACTGCAAATGCGAACAGTGTCTGAAAGACGATGCAGTTGAGAAGGGAGCAATCACACCTCAGAAGAACTTATTTGGTGGTGGCGTTTCAGCTTCACAAAAGACCCTATTCGGTATACCCAAGTCTACCTTTTCATTTGGAAGTTTTGCATCGCCTGCAACGCAACCTGCCAGTGCACCTGCAAAGCAAGATAGTGTCAAGGATTTGCTGCTGAAGCCATCGATATTGGGAACTACTGCTGCGACTGGTTTTAATTTTGGATCGCCTGTGGTCACAACAACTCCTCCAGTAGCAAATCCAGCTGCAGCAGAAACAAAACCATCACTTTTTGGAAATTTTGCAGGTAAACCTACACCTACTGGAAGTATTTTCGCCCAAGCAACTCTCCCCGGTACACCTTTTTCGGGTGAGAACATTTTTGGATTGGCAGCGAATTCTTCTGTGAGCACTGCTAACATTTTTGGAGGTGGAACTACCAAAACAGGCGCCGAGTCTACGTTTAGCTTTGCTAGCATCGCCAAACAAGCCGAGGCTGATTCGAAAGAGGTGCCCAAGATTGGAGGTGCACCAACGTTTAGTTTCGCGTCTATGGGAAAGCCCAAAGAAGGTCAGACAGCTACACCAACTTTTGGCTCTGAAGTAGCAGAGCCTGTCCTAGGCGCTGGGTCGAATCTCAGTTTTGCATCTTTTGCGGCTACCGCCGAAAATATGCCATTTGGGAAGCCAAAAGGTAAAGTAACTTTTAACTTTTTAAATGCGTCTAGTGTATTAATTATTATTTTAAATTGTTATTATTAGTGGAGACCGATAATCCGTTCGCCAAACTTGGAGCTGGTGCACCAGTATTTGGCGCCAAGCTATCCAACACTTCAAAGACTGATGACAATGATGAGGAGGGAGGTGCGGGAGACGGTGATCACGATCCGCACTACGATCCTATTGTACCTCTTCCCGACGAGGTTGAGGTCAAGACTGGTGAAGAAGACGAGGAAGTGCTCTTCAGTGAGCGTGGAAAGCTGTATCGCTTTGCTAATAAAGAGTGGAAGGAGCGTGGTGTTGGCAATATCAAAGTTCTCTACCATGCCCAAAATAGTAAGTAGACTCTTCTCCAACTTCATCATTTTTACTTTGTGTCCACTTGTTTATTACTCCATGTTCGTATTAAGAGAAAGTCAAGTAAATTTTATTTTTAGACACGTCTTAGTTAAGTAGAAGATTATCAATGTCAGATATTGAAGTGATTATACTTTAATGTAACAAGACTAATTTGTTGTTTCTTGTCATAGATTCTTACAGACTGTTATTAAGACGAGAAGCAGTTCATAAAATCGTTCTCAATCAGCGCATCACCCCAGAATTAGAAGTTATCGCATTCACACTGTCAGCCAATGCATGGATGTGGGGCGGTATGAACTATGGTGAAGAAGGGCACGTTCTGGAACAGCTCGCTGCTCGCTTTAAAAATGAGGCTCTCTCACAGGCTTTTTACGCAGCCATTCAAAAAGCAATTGCAGCTGTGAGAGCGTCGAGCACGCCATCAAAGCCTAACGTCAATGAAAATGTCTCTGACGTTGATGAGGACGATGAGGATGAAGATGAAGACGATGAAGATAATGAGGATAAGGAGGACGACTATGACGAAGAGGACGATGATCGGTAAGCTTACCTACGACGTGCAGGCACCTACGTTTTTATTTTCTAAATATTTCTACATTTTCTGCAAATTGTTGTTAGATTATATAATTGTAAAATATAGTTTATAAGTATCGTAAGTGATTTTGTTTTATTTTTAACTGTTTTCATTGTGAGTGTTAAACAAATAATTTACGATCCTTTTTCACCAACTTGAATGTTGCTGAATGCTTCAGATTTATTCATGTATTTATTTTCACAGGACTGTGATGTACAGCTGCGAATGCGCTCTGTACCAACAAGTGGGTGCTAATTGGAAACCACTTATTCAGCACGGCCTCGCCGAAGTAGTCTACGATCGAGAGAAGGAAATCTCCAGTATTATTGTCATTGATGATGTAGGGATTATCTTATCTAACACACTTATTGCTGCTAATTCTAATATGGAACGGAAACCAGACGTAAGTACATAGCCAGTAGTTTCACCTGAATTATCTAAATTTTAACGTGATGTTATTTATTTGGTGTTTTTATTTTACTTTTTAGGACAGTGGATGCGAATTGCATTGGAAGGCTGTGGAACATGCCAATGACGTTTGTGAATGGCGTACACTTAAACTAAAATTCGACAGCGAAGATGAAACTGAAAGCTTCTTCATCTCATACCAAGAGGCCAAGTCCTACGCGGAACAATCGAATATAATCGACGAAATTCCTACTGATGTGTATTACTCGGGTTACGAGTATGAATCGTAAATCGTTATTAAAAGTTGATTTATTCCGATTTATATTCCACGTTTTGGACTTGATATTATATTTAGTTACATTATTCTAAAGGTTTAATATTATGTTCTTAATATAGTACTGCTTAAATTAGTTTGTAGTGGCAACGAATCTAAAACTACATGATGTATTTTATACATAGATTTTGTATATATTCATTACAATTAATTGAACAACAATCTTGTTACACTCAATATTTTATATTACGTAAAAATTACTGCGCAGACAATGTTGCGGATAAATAATTGTTTTTGTTCAACAACCAACGCTGTCTACGCAATACAATTACAGAATACAATACTTTTTTTTCAAGTTTCTATAAGATGAAATGAGACGCTCTGTATCTCCTATAAAAATAAAGCAGTTTTTATGTTTCTCATCGCCATATTATTTATGAAGTGGACTTTTACAAAATTATAGTATATTGTACATTCTAGGTATTAAACTGATAGGCAATAACAGATAAAATCGCACAATCTTTCATTAATTTCAATAATCTAAATTCCGGGACTCCTGCATGTATCATTCAGAGATGGGACTAGCATGAACTAAAAGGTTGGGGGTAGTTAAGGGGTGGGAGATGGTTACATAGGCTACCTTGTTTGGTAATATGTGGGGGTGGTAGAAGGGGACGGTTAAGAGTACGGCACGTACCTTGACACAATCAGAATGTCGGAAATAATCGAATTTTTTAAAATTAAGGGGGTATTCTAGTCTAGAGGCATGTATTTCATGTGATTTTTGAAAGGCCGTAAAAAAAATCAATAAATATTTTTAGTATCCATTTTTTTAACACTTATTTATTAATGTTTTGAGAATACAAAAAAGAAACAAAAATTGAAAAAAGTTCAAAAATTTAAATTCCAGCAGGTGATGAAGTGGGGGGTCCCAAAAAATTGGCACGTGACCGTACCCATGATTTTAGCCCTCCAAGTGATCGGAATTAAAAAAAAGAAAAAGATTATAAATCTAGAATAATGTTGCAATCATATGAACTACGGACAAGTGAATTTTTTTTTACAAAATGGTGACTGTTTGAAAAAAAAGTGATTTTCTTACTCTTATTTTTTGATATTCTAGATTTTTTTTGGAATATTTGGAATTTGGGGATAAGCGTAGTTCATTATAAAGAAAAGTCTATAAAGAAGACTCTGTAAAAATTTCAGGTAAATCGGTTCAGTAGAAGTTGAGAAATCGTGCGTACCGTCTCGAAAAATACAGTTTCGAGAAAAACACGTTTAAAGTTTCGCGTCAATGCGAACCAGTTTGGATGCCGCGTCACCAAAACGGCTATATCTCGGAAAATAATTTAAATTTTGAAAAATCCTCTTGTACACGTATTCTTGAATAGTTAAACTTTGAAAATATCAAAGAAAAAAATCGATTTTTTGAAACCTCTAGACTAGAATACCCCTTAATTTCATTTAAAAATATCACTCAGGTAACTGACACTTCAAAATAAAGCCGACCCTGTCACTTCAAGTCCAACGGTTGCGGTTGCACCTTATAGGATGTGGCGCAACTGAGGAGAAACAGGCAGTATGCATGTATCCAGACTGCAACTGTTTTATTGAAATATCCATTGCAATGGTGTGCGAATTTTAAGACTAAGTCTTTACGTTCTCTGAATTTCATAGCCATGGTAATTTTCGATATGAATAATTGTATATATTTTTATATAATGTTTGTAAATAAAACACAATATAATAGGGTAAAGTACCCAATCATTGGCACTCTAAGAGAGAACTGCATGTCAGTCTGGAATTATATTGTCATAAAATCCCATTTACATTAGTTAGTATACAAAACATGTGACAAAATCAAAGAAAATACTTTAATCTTTGTTTTTTATAACTGTTTTTTAAGTGATTGAATAATAATAAATTAACATATGCTCAAAATCCAAAAGACTGCAGAAAATCCTATTATTGGCATGTAGTTCAAGTTGGAGATATGTAGGTACCTACCTATCAATAAAGTTGAAAATACTTACTTAACGTATAATTAAAACAATATTTTATTAATTAAATATCTGCTTTATTTACATAAGTACTCTATCTTATAGTAGGTATTTAAAATGTGCATAAAAATATTTTGTAATTCACTTTTTATGCCTAACATAAACACTTTATTTTATTCTAGCTACTAGTTTCACTTTATCAGTACTTAAATGGTAGGGCTTCACGCGATACCGAGACGAGACGTGTTTTATCAATTTCTCGGCGATACCGATACCACAGTCCGAGTCTCGTTTTTGGTCTCGTTATTGATCTCGTTACTTTTTTATGAAGTTGTTATTAGAAAAATGGGAAAAGGTCCAATATATGAAATCCAATATATGACCATCTGTGAAATATTTCTTTTGTATATTCAAAATAACAAGTCAGTAACCGAATATCATGACCTTTTGACTTTTTGAAAGTTTTATGAAAATTTTGTCTTTGTTTACACATCCGGAGACATATTTTTGTGTTTTTCTGTACTTCTTGAAGCAAAGATATTGTATACATCTGGGTAAGTTAGGAATTGTAGACGTGCGCCGCTTACTTTCAACACAAATCTACTCGACTATTGTACCCTAGTATACATTAACGTTTTAAAATTTGAAACATTAAAAATATATTTTCAATTAAAAGTGATGCAATTAAAATTAATATTTTAAACTATGTATGTATTTTGGATTTACTTTACAATACATGCAATTAGCAATTAAATGACTAAACTTTTGAACTGCAAAGATCTAAAACTGAGTTCTACTTAAAGCTTCACACGATACCGAGACTTTTCTCGTATCGTCTCGGTCTCGTATCGCTTTTGCGAGACGATACCGAGACCGAGACGATACCTTTGATAGTATCGTCCAGTCTCGTCTCGTGTGAAGCCCTATTAAATGGCTATCCTTGAGATCTTTTAACATTTATGCTTAACCACCAACAAAATATTAATGAGTCGGATTATGAACCTACTTAAAAACAAATACTCAACATCCCTATTTTATATACCTAGTTCTCAGTGTTCTAGAACCAAAAAGTAACTTTAAGTTAATTTCCGTTATTGTTAACTTTTTGTTAGTTCTAATATGACTATCATGATCATGATCTAAATGAATAAAAAAAAACAATATTAGCACTCAATATTCTATTGTGGGCACTACTGCCAATAATTAGCTTTTAGTTATTGGCACGGGTGCCAAGAATAGGATTTTGATAAATTCTTGATCCATATGTTGGCACATGTAATAAATCATTGTGATAAAAGATATATTCACGAACTAATCTTTGAATCTATTGCCTAAACGTGTAATTAAGAATATCAACTCTGTTGAGTACAGTTAAATTTAAAACTAATGGAGTCATGGCTCCAGTAAATGAAAGACTTTTAAGCATTGCTAAAAAAGCAATTGAAGTAGGATCGGGAGAGTCTCTGATTGCTCAGATTGTGTAATTGCATCTATGAAAATAAAAATGGACATGAATCTACCAACACTAGGAACAAAGCCCAGCACGGCATCTCTACTACAAGCGCAGCTACCAACAACGCAATATAATGTTAGAACGAACAATATGTTCGAGTATAGTGCTCTTGAAGACAACGAGGAGATGGATGTCGCTGAAGTTCAGCAACCAAAGCAACAAAAGCCACCACCAATTATAATTCGAAGCCGCCCAAACTCGCCGTCTAAATTCGAAAATATTATTATCGACATTATTGGGAAGATAAGTTCTGGCTAAGATGGTCCACAGACAGAACAACCATTTACTGCAAATTGAAGGAAGATCGCAGCAAATTAATCCAACACCTGAATGAAGCAGGCTCGGACTACTACTCCTTTACACCAAAGGATGAAAGAAAAACAGCCAGAATTATTTACAACTTGTACACGGATCTTAATGAAGATGAACTGCTACAAGAGATCAAGACAAAAATAAATGCCGATCGGGTAATGAAATTAAAAAACACTAGAGATCCAGTATACATGGTTCTTCTAAACGAAAATCACTCTGTGTAAGAATTAAACAAGATAATATTTTGATTATTACGTCCAGAAAGTGACAATGAAATTCTGGGTATAAATAAGGGTAAAGGTTTGAATTATTCACACACAAAATTGAACGCGAAAATTAGAATATAAAGTTTAAAAAAATTGAAAATATTTATAATGGGAAATAATAGTTTTATTTTAACCATATTTTTAATTGGATTAATTTATGTGCAATGTAAACCACAGCGCGATAGCGATGAGAGTGATGAAGACCAATGTGACGAAGTGTGTGAGCGATTAGGATTCTTAACAGGAGTGACCGAACGTCCTTGTGGTCGTAGAGTCATTGCTGAAGGAGTTTGTGAATGTTGCTCATACTATCGTGGTAAATATAAATAATACAATATAAACACGATTAAAAAACGTAATAGTACACATGCATAGAAATATTTTATTTAAAAATTTATAGGTTTTGGCGATGGAGACGAAGATGAATATGAGAATGAACATGGCGGTGATGATTGGAACGATAGAGATGGGGATGACGATGAAGACAATGAAGTAGATGACCATGACGATGAGCATGATGGCGAAGACGATGATTATCATGATCATGATCAGTTTCATGAACATGGGGATGATGACGAGGATAACGAAGATAGAGACGATGACGACGATGACGACGATGATGACGATGATGACGAAGACGACGACGACGAGGACGACGACGGCGATGATGATGATGATGATGATGACGATGACGATGAGGACGAAGATGATATTGACGACGAAGATCGCAGTTGGTGGAACCATTTATTCCATCATGGATAAATCAACATAAATATTGTTAAAATTTTAAAACCCTTAAACAGATGAAATGTTGTATTATAACTGTTAAATTAATATTTTATTCCATTGATTTGAATTCCTGACATATTAAAATTGTGAATATGAATTTGTTTGTTTGTGACACACTCTCACAAAAAAGCAACAGCAAATAAACAACTTTTTGCCGCAAAAACCCATCGAAAAAGTTGTAGAAAAGAAGAAGTTGGTGAGGCAATTCAATTATTGTTATGGTTGTATTATTTAAACCCAGATGTCACTACAGTGCAGTATTCTAAGCATTTTTCAGTATTTATTTATTTGTGTTCAGAAATAAAGCGCATTCGTATTTAAACAGTGCACAACTCGTATTGTAATATCTTGTGACAATTCTTATCGTAACAAACGAGTAAAACATGCCGGTACGTATTATTATACGGTACAATAGCGCACCTGCTTGTAATTATAATTAAACAGAACATTACGTATCCACGGATTTGCAATATTTGCTTAATTACACCTATAATAATAATAAAAATAATAAAAATAGTAAAAACATATGACGCACCACAAAGTATTACAAGTAAGTACGAGTATATAAACTTATTATGAACTCGAGAAAATGCAATATTTCTTTCAGAGTATGATGTAAATTGTCAAACGTACATTGTCCTTTCGTTACAATGACTAAACTCTCCGTAAGCCTGTTTTGGCTATGCTAAGCGCAGTAGTAATGATCGCTCAAAGTAAGAAATGCACGAACGATTGTACTGGAATATTTTCTTGTCCGTTTATTCCGGGTAATTGCACGCAAACCTTGCGGCGCATTGCAGAGGTATCCTGAGTGCGCTTGTTGTAATTCTTGTGTTTACACTGTTGGTAAGTAATAATTTAAGATTATATTAATTTTAATTTTTTTTTGTTTATTATGTATGATAAATGTGTTTAAGGTTTGAATAGTTTCTGTGGGTTGAATTCAACAATTCGTTCGTGGCAAAAATGCGGATGTAATTTAAAATGCACAGAACCACCCAAAACAGGTGGTTATTGTCGTGCAAAACATGATGACGATTCTCCTGGCAGTGATTCATCTAACGAATAATCTAATTTTCTTTTCAAGTTAATAATGTCTTGTGGTCAACTACACAAATAAATAAAATGTAAAGCTTAATTTCTTATGTATTGTCTTTAGACCTGCAGTTTGATTACCTAGCCACCTGCATTAAATTGCTGCCAACCGTGTCTTATTAGAGCAGTGAAGCAGTAACACACACCAGCATTATGTATATTAATTAGAAAACTACAGCACATGATATGAAAGTAAATTAATTGCTGTTTTACACTAAAACAAGGCTTAAACAAGTCTTCTGTAGCCGTGATCGTCTAGTGGTTAGGACCCTACGTTGTGGCCGTAGTAACCCAGGTTCGAATCCTGGTCACGGCAATGTGTAAACATTGTCACGGAGAAGACATTTTTTGCACTATCAATATAATAAAATAATAAAAAGTTTTTTATCAAATAAAACAGGTACAAATTGTAAGAAGGTGAGTTGTTTTTGAGTGAATTAATTACTACGTTCGCCCCAATGTCTATATTCCTTGGGTAGTAACCATGCCAAGCGAACATAAGCAATGTCTTTTATTGCAATCAAATTAGATTTGATCAAAACTTCATGGCAGCGGTGGGATTCGAACCCACGCCTCCGAAGAGACTGGTGCCTTAAACCAGCGCCTTAGACCGCTCGGCCACGCTACCAGGACGATTTCCCGCGTTTTCCTTGAAATTTTCTAACCTATATAACCTAGAAAGTGTGAACCAAGGCCTCCCAATTTTGGGTAAATTGTTGCACGACTGACGGAAAGAAACACCAATAAATTTATCCAATATAATTTTATATTTGTACTTAATATTTAAGTTATGCTTAAATTGTCATAAATTATTTAAAATCTTATCATATTGCACCTAGTGAGTACCTACACACAATCAAATAAAGGAACATTTTCACGATCTTGTAATATTTACCATATTCTGCCTGGTATAATATTTAAAGTATTAATTGCAATAACATATGATGCAATATCAGAAATATCAGAAATAAATGCGCTTCTTTTCTTACAAATTTATCATTTATCACATTTCTACAAGAAACACATATTCTAGAAGTGTTTCAAACTAAATTTAAATTCGTCAAAATTGACGAAATTTTACATAGTTTTATCATTTTTATGTTTATTAGGTACATTGTTTACCGTACAAAGTAAAACATGTACCACTGATTGTACAGGCCGCTATTCGTGTCCATATCTTCCGGGAGATTGTACCAGAAATGGCGGCGCTATACAAAAATACCCAGAGTCATCATGCTGTGACGCATGCGTGTATACTGTTGGTAAGATACGATTTTCAGTCATTGTAATTATTATTATGCGCTTAAATACAAATTGTATATTTATTGTTTATGTTTGAATAGTATCTGTGGTTACAATTCTACCATCAGTTCATGGCAAAAATGTGGATGCAACTTAAAATGTACCAAGTCACCGGAAACAGGTGGTTATTGTGTAGCTAAATCTGACGACGATTCATCTTGCAGCGATTGATTAATTAAATCATGTTATCAGCTACTTTGTTATACAAGCAGCAAAATATAATAATATAATAGTGTTTATAATAAGCTAAATTTTGTTTATTTTATAGTTTTACAATTTTTAATCTAAAATTTGCAAAAACCCAATCAATACATTCTTCTTCTTCTGTGGCTCTACAGCCCATTTCGGGCCTTGGCTTCTTTCAGCTTTTGCCGCCATTCATCTCGGTTCTTGGAGACTACCCGCCAGTTCCTACAGCGGAGTAGATTTTTCGTGTCTTCTTCGATGTCGTCTTCCCACCTCTTTCTTGGTCTTCCCTTTGGTCTTCTTCCTTCCATTTTGGCTGTTAGTGTTCGTTTTGGCATCCTCTGCTCATCCATTCTCATCACATGTCCTGCCCATTGCAGTCTCTGTATTTTTGCGTATACTGATATTGGTGGGTCTTCAATAGCGTCGTATATCTCTTTATTATGTCGGAGTCTATATTCGTTGTTTTCTATAACTGGACCTAGTATTCTACGCAGAATCTTTCGTTCAAAAGTGTCAATCTTTATTTCGTTGGCAGATGTGAGAATCCATGTTTCACATCCATAAATTAGAATGGGTCTAATAATTGTCTTGTAGATTCTTAGTTTGTTATTCCTGTTGACGTTTTTGGACTTGAAGATGTGTAAGAGTGAGAAATATGCTTTGTTTGCCATAAGTATCCTGGTTTTTATTTCGGAATCTTCCTTCCCCATATGGTTTAGGTCAATACATTAATTGGTATATTAAGTACCAAGTGGCTAAACGAGAGTTTTTGTAGTAAGTGTTTAATCTATCTAGTGTTTAACAACGTGTAACAACGAGGTGCTAATCCCGTGACTAAAATTTGTGACTAAAGTACTTTAATCACGGTCTTGCCCGTTCGTGTATCTCTTTTTTGGTGTCTTAAAACTGTGGGAAAACCGGCGCTTTAAAGGTGGTAGTAGAAAAACATTGTTATCACCATTATAACACCATAAATTCATAAGAATATATTATTATAAACTAAAAAAGTTAATTTATAAAGGCACAATACAAGTACACGTATTTTCTTTAATTTCTTAAAATAGTGACATAAGGGGTATCTAACCTCAATCGACACAAAGAAACTACGACGCTAAAATGATATAAATTAGCTTTCCGCATTGTGTATTATAATACCTACTAGTGTTATAAGCTCAAGCTTCAGAATAAATTCTTATTTTTTTTCTTTTAGAGACAGGATGAAGTTCTCTTTGATTGCAAGTACAATTTTTGCCTGTTCTTTGATTTTATTATTTGCAACCAGCAAAACCAGTCAACGCAAGAGTACCAGTCGTTTGTGGTATTGCTTGTGTTTTTGAGTGTACACCTATCCCAGCCGATTGCACGCGACACTTGTGTTTTCATTGTTGGTAAATAACACTGATTTTATTAATTTTTTACCTAATATATTTGTAGTAAATTAATAATTCATTAATTGGTAATGACATACTATTAATATTAACATTAAAAACAATTTCAGGTGAAAATAAACCATGCAACTTTCAAGGAGTACTTTTTCACGAATGCGGCAACAACTTGGCATGTGAGAACAATGTTTGCAAACCAATCGAAACAAAAAAATAATCTACGGTGAACAGTACCATTACAAATAAGTTAATGAATTTGTGCTTTGTAAAATATTATACCAGACCTCACATTAAATTACTTGTTTGTTAGCTATTACACACTAATAGCTGATATGAAATGCTCGAAATGAATAATTTTGCACAATACAACAATCTAGAAATCAGTAATTTCTCCATACTTGTTAAATTTACCAATTTTAAATGCGGTTAATTTGATTTTTAAATAAAACTTCTATGAAAAACACCACAATAGACAACAAAATGCCTACCGCCCATAAAGTAAACAAACTTTTCATTTGGTTTAAACTCGCTGGTTTCCATGCCTTAATTACTTTCTTGTCAAGTATTTTGTACTGTTGCAGTAATGAATTTTCTTTTAAAAATTCCTATAACGGATTCATATTAATGATGTTGTATTATTTTTTGTAATAACTAGCAAGAATTGTTTACATTTTCTTCCCATTTTACAATTAATCCGGCTTCCGAGCAACGCCTAATCACGATATCGAAGGAATCCTTAAGTACTGAGTTTTTTCGTAGTACCACGTGGCTATTATCTGTTAAAGGTTCCTGCTCCATTAAATGAAAATGATCTCAATCAAAGTTATTCCCGTCACAACTTTCTATATATCCTAAAACGGCGTTTATCTAATAAATATGATCAAAGTACAGTGGAATCTCGGTAATCCGACAATCACTTTGCAGGGCAGTGTCGGATGAACGAATTTGTCGGATTATAGAGAACTGCCTAAGACCCCTTACAGTCCTGAATTTTCTACAAAAGAGTAATCCGACAAATTTCAAATCCTAAAGTACAAACATATGGCATGTGACCATGTCGGATTACCGAGATTACTCTGTATTATAATTTATGTGCATATATATTATATTACCAGATTGAAGCTGAGTGAATACAAATTCATACAGTGTTCCATTTTCAGTTAAATATTGCAATGATTCAGGTGAATAATCTATATATATATATATATATAGCTTCTTCAGCTGCAATTGCTAAAATATTTAATTAAATATAAACAAATAATTTATAGTGAATTTAAAAAATAGTAATAATATATTATTAGTTGTACTTGGCTATCCGTAAGCATGCGTGTATAAGTTTTTTCAGATGATGACCATGGCAAATTGGCTTTGACAATATCACCAATTGTTTTTATTTCTCCGATATATCTAGAATCATTTAAGAATCAGTGTTAATTGAGCTGCAACTATGAAAATATTTGATACTTTGGAGCTGACAAATTGCTAGACGCGGCCGAGTTGTAAACGGTCGTAAATATAATTCCAAATAACAAAATAAATGCATACATCACACGTATAAAATTATCCACAGGGATTTGATGACTATTTATACTTTGATTAAACGTCACACGTATAGTTTTAAGATATCAAAGCGAGAGTACAGTCTAAATCTGCAATATTGTTATAAATAAGAATGTATTAATCGATGTAATAAAACTAACAAATAGTTCCTGAAATATTTCAATGAACCTAAAATAAAATAGGATGAAAATATAAGTAACCAATGGTGGACATTTCTAATATTGAGTGCATATAGTAGATCGAAATGTTCTTGTGGTTTCGGTACCATGAATCTTCCTTTAAATTGAGTTACACGACTGATATCAAAATATTGGATAGTTCGGATATTTAAGACATAGTAACCTGAAGTCTATGAACTCAGTTGGTTTTTGTGAGAATAGAAAACATTCTACAGGGTTTATTACCTGTGACAATATCAATTTCATCTTTCAATAAAAAATTTAAAAATGTGCCTGGTGTCGCATTCCAATTTATACTTAGTACTTCATTGGTTATATTACTTCCATGAATTATTATAGTGAAATTATATAATTTTGCATATTCCGCCAAAATGTTCAATTCCGCACCAAGCATTAAACCTATTATGATTAATTGTATATTTAATTCT